TAAACTTTATCCTGCATGGTGGGAGGTCGATAAGGTTAGTGTTTATTTTTTATAAATTTTTTAAAGGTGTTCATAAATAAGTGCGCAAATAAATGAATTATTACTTATGATTGCAGGTGTTTATCCCTATTTTGGATGGCTTCTCGTCCAACTTTAGCTCCCATCCCTGAAGATAATAGTATATGACAGCATGATAAATTACATATCACTGTCTGATTTGAGAGATATTATCAAGGGATAGAGCTCTCATTTGGCTAAATTCTTGGATGAGATTAATTATTGGACTCATTCTGGACACAAAAAGCCAAAGAAGTTCAATGTCACAGTTGTCAGAGACGAGACCGTGCCACAACAATCGCCGGGAGCCAGAGGGGATTGTGGTCCTCTCGTATGCATGTGCTTGGCGCGTTTGACGACGGGAAGCACAGAGTTTCTACCTCCCACCGATAGAGATGGAGCTGCAGTAGGCTTGTGGTTTCGGCATTATATGGCTAGAGCGATATATTCGAGACGCTGCCTACCTGCATCCGCGTTATGAAAGTATCCATTGTTAATTGGTAAGTCAAATGCAAGTTTTGTTAACATATATACTCCTTTTGGTTTGAAAATGTTTGGTTAAGCACCTAGAATTTAATAATTTGTTGTTTGTAGGTTTTAGATGTGTAGGAAGTCTTGTTTGAGCAAATGTTTGGTTTATGCAGGTTAATCCTTAAGTGAGCTGCGTGAAATGGATGTACAGGTGCAAAAGTTGATTCATTGATTCAATAATTGATGAGGAAATAAGAATTATTATTATTTTTTGATTGTTTAATTGATTTGTAAAAAATAATTTGTAAATGTTGATTTGTTTAATTGATGTGTACATAATTCTTATTTGTGCTTGTTTAATTGATTGAAATGTCATAGTTGATTTGTTGATTTTCAATCTGCATTATGTTGAAGGTAAAACAGACTGTCGCAACACAAAACTGACTATCGCAACGAGAGAATCGCAATGCGAAATGAAAATCGCAATGCGAAATGAAAATCGCAACGAGAAAAGCGCAATGCGATTTTCATTTCGCGTTGCGGTTTTCTCGTTGCGATAGCCATTTTTGCGTTGCGATGCCATTTTCGCGTTGCGATAGTCATTTTCGCGTTGCGATTTCCTCGTTGCGATAGTCAAATGAATGTCTAATAAGTGATAACACTGAACAGATCATAGCAATGTTCAAACTCAAGTTACTAATACATGCCTAACTGAAAATGTTAAAAGTGCACAGATAAAATACACAAAATACAACGTTTGCATTTAAAAATCACCTAAGTTAACAGTCCCAAAAGGTGAAGCCGGTTGTGATTGGGATTTTAAAGATGATTGCGATTTTGATTGCCTTTTGCTTGACACCATATGAGCTTTGGATTTTGATGAGGATCCATATTTTGGTAGAGGAAAAGATGATTGTGATGGCACTGGTGAACCATATGTCAACCTTGTATGACCACTTTCCTTGCACCGACTACATGTCGATCTCGTTGCGAAATTCAGAATCGCGTTGCGAAAGTCAGTATCGCGTTGCGATAGTCAGTATCGCATTGTGATTTTCCAAATTCGCATTGCGATTTACTTATTCGCATTGCGAATTGGGAAAATCGCAACGCGAAATTGGAAAATCGCATTGCGATAGTCATAATCGCGTTGCGAATCTGGAAACTGATTTGCGATAATGGAGATCGCGTTGCGAATTAGCGATCGCATTGCGATTTTGTTGGTCATTTTGGCAAATCCGGAAAAAGTTGGTTAAAATCGTATATTATATGGGATTTTTGGTCACTGAGGTTATTTTCTCTTTTTAAAATAACATATTAGACTTGTATTTAATTTTTTGCTTGTACTATATTCAGTAAAATAAATATATATTGAGGTTTATACGTAAGAAAAGTATTTCAGAGACGATTTATACATAAGAATGCATCTCAACTCAAAAATATTTGGATCCTATTAAAAAAATTGTCATAAATCAGTTGATATTTCATCCTTAGGGGAAATTGTTGGGTTGATTTTTTGGTGTTTTCCGAGCTTAAGTAAGTCATTCCTAGAAAAAGGATCGATCCCTCAACCAAAGGGATCGATCCCAAAGTTTCTGTCCAGCAAATGATTGATCCCTTTTCAAAAGGATCGATCCGTCAGGAAAAAGGATCGTTCCCTTGACCATAAGAATCGATCCCAAACTTTCTATTTTGCCTAATATCGATCCCTTCGTTGTTTTACCATATGGAAAAAAGGTAGAATTTTATTCATTAGAGGTCTAAAGAGTTATGAAATTTTGTGTTGGCCTCAGCATGTTTGAATGAGTTCAGTTTGGTCCATTGATTGATTTACCCAATTATTTAAACCCTAAATTCAAAAACTAATGATAATAATCAAGCTCGACTAATAACACTATGAAACAAAGTGGCATAAAACTAGCATTGTTTGATACTCGAGGAAAGGACGAGGACACTCGAGTCACTTAACAGTGTGAGCATTACGTGTATAAAATATCTGAATATATCCAACCTAGTGCTTGGACACTTAAAATGCTAGTTGGATGTTGTGCCGATACTACGTGACCTAGGCACATCCCGAGTACTCTTGAAGAGAAGGCTAACCGGGCAAGTGTCGGTGCTTTGTGACCTGGACTTGACCCGAGTATTAAGGAGACATTGATCTTGTGTAACCCAGGCCTTCCTTAAGTGTTGTAAGTAAAGAGTGGTGTGAATTTCTTGATGCTATGTGACCCCGAACTACACTATGATACTTATCATTTCCTTGAGTTTTGCATTGTTCATGACTATATTATATCATGCTTATATATTGGGTGCATGTCGTATAGCTTGGTTATATTTGGTGGCACTGAGCTTGTGAGCTCAGCGTATGGAATGTGTTTCCGTGTGTAGGTCAGTAGGTGCCAGCTAAGGAGCTCTTCGTCAGACTCGGATTTCAGACTCGACTTCTTCAGAGTACGTTTCGAGAGTTTTAGAGGCATGTACTTTCATAGACCCTTATTTGTATCTTTAGACATAAACTTTTGTATTTTAAATTAATGATATATTCCATAGACTTATGTCGGGAGCTCCCTGTATTAAACACTTATATCTCGTATTTCTTTGGTAATTAAATTTTATGGATGGTACCTTCATAAAACTTTTAAAAAAATGGTTAGCCACTCACTGGTTTTGTGTGACATCGTAATTCGATGACCTTCAGGTCGAATTGGATTAGGATGTTACAGATTGAGTCTTAGTTCGTTTGACATCATTATTTTAGTAATATCTTAGAGGATATGGGTTCGAACGTGCTTAAATATTGTAAGTAATCCTCTAATTTGGGAGGATCTTGACTAATTATTCCTTAATTTCTTCTCATCCTATCAAGTAAGGTCTTTAATAAATTCTTTGGTGTGACTAAAGTGAAAGGCTAGGAACCTTTTTGTACTTCCAAGTTCACATTAGATGGACTTATAGTGGCTTAGCAACAGATCGAAACCATGTTGAAGTATAATTATTACTCAACCTTATTAGTGAAAAACACTAACATAATCATGAAACCCGGCCTCTCTATCTATTTATGGGATATACTTGAGGTTTTATGTTATAATTTAGTTGAAAGGGAGGTGGTGCGATTCAATCGTGGTAGTGCCTCTTCCATTGTGGCCAAGAAACTCGATCATACAGGGACATGTGCACTCGCATAAAAGGTAGAGGGTAAAGTACACAAATGGTCCCCGACTATAGGGTACTATTTTTATTAAGTCCATCGACTATTAAAACTTATAAAATAGTATTCTAATTATAGAGTGTTTCTTTGTTGAATCCCTCGGCAGTTAAAAGTTATAAAACGGTCACCCGATTATTTATTTTGTTCAAAACTCGTCCTTTTCTATTAAACAATTGACGGTATTTTGAGCTGAACGTTAACTTCCTAATTTGATATGATAAAATCTGATCCCAAAATATTAAACGACTATCATATCCCAAAAAATTACCAATTTTTTAATGGAAAGGGACGGGTTTAAAACATAATGAATAGTCGATGACCATTTTGTAACATTCAATAGTTGACTTAACAAAACAAATTCTATAGTTGGAAGATCATTTTATAACTTTCAATAGTCAAGGGACTTCATAAAATAATATCCTATAGTCGGGGACCATTTGTGTACTTTACCCAAAAGTAAAGGGTAATCACCTATTCTTGTAGTTATGTTTGGTCACTCAAACTATTTTTCTTAAATCATACTTAAGGTTACATTTTGTTCATCCACCTTAAGCTTAGTGACGGAATTTGACGATAGAGTTTGAGGGGACAACTTAGGTTTAAATTAAAACTTTTAAAAAATTTGAAGGGTTTAGTTTACATTTTTTCCAAAAATTTAGGATCTAACTAAAATTTTTGAAATTTTGAGGGGTTTATTGAGACTTTTTAAATTATTGGAGGGTATTTAATTAAGAATATTAAAAAATTACAGATTAATCTAAATTAATAAATATTTTGGGGAGAACAAATTATTTTTTTTAAAATAGGGTTTTTTTAAAATTTTAGTGGGGACATGGCCTCACTAACCCTCTTGTGTTCCACCATTGTTTATGTTGACATATTATCGTAGGGTAGTGCTAAAAAATAAAAAATTTATCACGTCAACAATCCAATTGATTTTTAATAACAAATGATAAAAATGAAACTAAAATATAACATTATATATGATTTTGATAAAAAAAATAGTTTTATATGAAAGCGTGGTTATTATCCCTAAAGATTTTAGGTTTTAAAACAACATCTACAGGAATGTTCGAGAGATACCTTGTAATTGTCTATAGTGTCTAAAATATAACTAAATAAATAGATGGATGACTAAATACATAGTTTACCCGAAAGTAAATACATCACAAGTGGCCTTGATGTCAAAATCAACACCCCGTTATAAATAACCCCACTCACGAACCACATCAACCATCCACAGTAAAGGAGCTTATTAAATCTTCAAAAAGTGAAGAAGAAAATGCAACTCAATTCTATTCATTTCTCCTTGTTTCTTTTTTTCTCGTTGGTTTCACTTAACATCGCTGGTGCCGGTGGTTCCGGTGACCAGAAAACACTGACGACCTCCATGGAGGGCTCAAATGCTCCGAGTGGTGCTACTGGTTCCGCCTATGGTCCTAGCTGGGACTACAGCTGGGGATGGGGTTCGAGCCCCGGGATTGGATGGGGTTACGGCTCGGGCTCGGGGAGGTCGCCCAATGGGTTCGGGAGGGGTTATGGGTTTGGGTTTGGGTCCGGAACGGGGTCTGGTTCGGGGTATGGGTATGGGTCTGGAAGTGGTGGTGCCCATGGCGGTGGCTACGGTTCTGGAAGTGGACAAGGGAACTCCGGGGGGGCGGCTCGGCTGGAGGAAGCGGTGGTTCGAGTGAAAATGGAAACGGCAACCGTTGGCCGTCTGTTGACAGGAACCACCATGGTTAATTCTCATGTCGGGAAACTATGCTTAGTATGTAATATAAAATAGATGGTGTGTAAAATTATATATATATAACGAGTGTTACGGCGGTTTTATAAGTTAAAAAGCTTATATATGTTTATGTACTGAACTACTGATTATATAGCTTCAACTCTCCCTTTGTTTGCCTGGTTGCCTTGTTAATCTGTTTCGTATCAGTTCGGGAATGTTTATGAAAGTGTTTTTGACCTAAAATTTCGTTTAAAACACAAAAACATTTTCAAGCAGTTAATTTTCGGTAAAAAATTCACGTTTAAAATGTGATTAACGACTCAAACCAAGAAATTAAAAAACAGTGCTATTGCGTTAGAAAAACTCGTTCGAAAAAACATTCCCAAACGAAACTTCAAAAATTCAAGTCAAATTAACATAAAATGACGGTATTGTAAGTTTTATAAGTTTAATGGTTAAAATACAAATGTATTAAAAGTTATGGATTATTTATGTAATTTACCCAAAATATAATATTAAATATGATAAATTTATTTTATTTTTATTTAATATTAAAATTTAAATAAAATAATAATAATAATAATAATAAATATTATATTAAATTATAAACAAGATAAAAATAAACATAGATTAATTTAAGATTAAATAAAATTTCTAAGATTAAATTAAATAATAATAAAACATATAATACTTGACATGTCATTTATTAGTTTGTTAAAATCATATTGATTTTATCTAATCAAAATGTTATTAAAATAAAAATGTTTTGATAATTCTTATAAATAGTAGCAAATCTCGAAATATCGAAGTGAACATATATATTAATAAAGAAAATTTTCTTATGGGATAAAATGGTAGACTCGCTTTTTGTCTAAGGTGGGCACGTGTCCACTTAAAATTAAATTTGTTTTTATTTGATACTTATTTTATTGATTATATCTAATATTTTTGATTCCGTCAATGATGAGATGAACGTAAATAAAATTTTAAGATAAAATCTATCCATAAAATGAACAAATAACATAAAAAAATAGGATTTCAAAATAAACACTTAATGATAATAGATATGGGTACTGAACACAAACCTGATCAGGCCAGATTTTTATTAAAATTGAGTTTGGGTCGACTTGGGCTGAAATTTTTAGAGGTTATGTTTTGGTTGGTTTAGGGTAAAAAAAACCCAACCGACCTAAAAAAATATAATTTTATCTTATATATTTAAAGATAATTACAATAATACCCCTCTATATATTATTATTATTTTAAGTCATGTCAGGTCGAATTCAGATTTTATCTCAAAAGCAGGTTGGATTCGAGTTGGGTGAATGATGTATATTTCTCGAGTCGAATTCGGATCAAGTGAAGAATGTATAATTTTCGAATAAAGTTGGTTAAACCGAAAACCCGACCCGACCATACTCACCTCAATGATCATAATCAACGCTTATGTCCGCTATTCACCAACACAACTTGGTGAAAAAGTAAGGACAGTAAAGAGCCCTATTTTCAGTGGAGCAGCCCAAATCTACATGCTCAACTTGACCTTCAACTGCCTCAATCCGTGTGGGACTCTCCTCACAAATGGCAAGAGACTCTTATCAGATCGAATTAAATTAATTTATTTTATTTATAATATCACGGTTCAAACCATTGGTTTTATTCAAAAAATTAATATCTCATTGCACTAAACTAACTGAGAAGTAATATTTTTATAGGATCTTTAAAAGGCAATCTACGAGTTTAATAGTAAGAGAGAGAGAGAGAGAATGAAGGTGATCAAGTTAGGGTATGAAAGTTGTAGATAAGAGAGACCCCTTTTAGGATACTAATACCTAATAAATATAAGAGAAAATAACCTCAGTGACCAAAAATGCCTTATAATATACGATTTTAACCAACTTTTTTTGGATTTGTCAAAATGACTAACTAAATCACAATGCGATCGATAATTCGCAACGCGATCTCCGGTATCGCAAATTAGTTTCTAGATTCGCAATGCGATTCTGACTATCGCATTGCGATTTCCCAAATTCGCATTATGATTTTCCTAATTCGCAATGCGATTACGTAAATCGCAATGCGAATACGTAAATCGCAATGCGATTTACATAGCGCCATTCGTATTAAAGCGTATTTTTTTTTCAAAATTTAAACACGAATATATTAAAATATCGGAACACTGAACCGTCCACAGTATATACCGTAATCGCAACTCATAACCTAAAACCCTAAATCACAACTCAGTCTCATCTCCATCTCTCACTCTCAAAGGTGACATCCGTCCCCATCTCCGACGAAATCAGTCTCCACGACGATATCAGTCTCCATCTCCGACGAAATCATTCACAGTCAGAAATGGAAAATCAACCAAATCAACCACCGAGTGTTAGTTTTTTTAATTATTTTTATTTTGAAATTTTTGCATTATTATTAGGTTTTTCATATTGAAATTGATGATAAGTTTACTGGTGTTTTCAATAATAGATTAACCATTTCACTTAGACTGCTTATTATATTCATTCGATTGTTGCCAATACTGCTAAACTGTTTAGTCTTTAACCCTGTGAAGTTAATATTTGTCTTTGTTTTGTCTTTTGGTTGAAGTAATGCAATCCATTCAAGTTTCTTTCAATTTTAGTATTTGAAACCGAGAATGACTATCGCAATGCGATTCTGTCGTTACGATTTTCATTTCGCGTTGCGATAGTCAAATTCGCGTTGCGATAGTCATTTTCGTGTTACGATTTTCATTTTCGTATTGCGATTTAAAGTTTCAGAAACTATTCTTCTTCTGCAAATTGAAACTTGAATGAATTGCATTACTTCAACCAAAAAACAAAAACAAATACTAAATTCACAGTATTGCAAATTTAAGTTTGAAGAATAAACTACTACTCTTTATGTTTATTGTTCTTGTTATATCTTCACAGTGTAGTTTTTGGTATATCTAAATTGGTATGTTTATTGTTTTTGCAGAACTTTTATTCGGCTCAATTGACCTTAAGAAATAAAGTAAGCCTGGCCAAAACAATTGCGTCGAAGCTTTCACCTGCACAAAGAAAAATATTTGAGGATACTTGCTTCGGGCCATGACTGAAAGTACAACATCCGGGTGGAGATGCTATGTTGACCCATCTGTTTCTTCAAACTATGACTAGCGATCTACCAGAGACTATACAACGTCGTGATGAAGAGATATGGTTTGATTTTCCACCGGCGTATACGTGTTTTGGGCGGGAGGAGTTTTGCTTAATCACCGGTCTACGCTTCGGACACGATGATGTAGATCGATACACTAGACATATTACCCGCCTATCATGGTTTTCCCGGGGTTTTTCTTGAGTTGTCAACGGAGAAGCCGAATTTACACGTGGAATACTTGACGAGATTATTGAATAAGATGGTTTTACTCGGATGGATGACGTCGATGTTGTTCGAGTATGCCTTCTAATACTTTTGCAAGTCGGTTTTTTAGGCAGAGAGGCCCGACAACCTATTCCTAATGATCTAATTAAATTGGTAGAGGACCTAAATGCACAGAACTTGTTTCCGTGGGGTTCGTATCTATGGAGAGCTACATGGAATAAGTTATCGTCTGCCTTTGATGATCAAAAACGTTTGCGTGGCGATGGTTCCAAATACACTTTGTCAGACTTTATTTGGGCCTTTAAGGTAATAATTTTTATATAATGTTTCCAAAATTATAATTAATTCTTTAATAATTACTAATGTTTGTTATTATATATTGTTTGTAGATTTGGATATTTGAGGCCTTTCCCGCCATGCAGACATATGCATTAAAAACTTCTAATGATATTCCTAGGGCTATTTCCTGGAAGAGGAAACGGTCCTTACAGCAATGGAAAGATTTACTACCGTATACTACAATAAATAATGTAAGTTAACACAAATACTACCATATGTTTATAAACAAGTTATTACTAGTACACGTTTAACTTTGTTTGAGCTTTTATATTGTTAGGAGGCCAACACTCCATTACAGAGGCTGACACCCACGGAAGCTGAGCTTGCCACTGATTGGTGGCAAGCTAGTAAACATTTTTTTGATATCACGGATGATGAGCAGCCACCACTTCGAGAGCCATCCCCTCACCCAGAGCCATCACCTGATCGACCCGAATATACACCTCCATAACGAGAGTCATCACCTATTCTGTCACATCATCGAGCCTCTTCTCCACCATCACCTCATGATAGGCGACCGGCAAAGATTCCACGACGTTTATCTCCCTGTTCTCCACCTCCACCTCCACGGGATGAGTTAGGGGAGTTACGTAATGAGGTCAATGCCTTGCGTGAGGAGGTCGATACTTTACGCGATGACAATGGTGCATGGCGTGTTGAGGTGTCTACTTTACGTGGTGAGGTAGCAGCTCTACGTGAGATTGTAGCATCATTGCAAAACGAGGTTCATACTCTACGCAATGAGGTAAGTTTAATATTTTTCATATTTAACTTGATGATAAATTTACTCCTAATTTTACTTAGATTGCTTAGTAAATTCATTCGGTTGCTGTCAATATTGTTTAACTGTTTATTCTTTAACCCTGTGAAGTTAGTATTTGTTTTTTGTTGTCTTTTGGTTGAAGTAATGCAATCTATTCAAGTTTCAATTTGCAGAAGAAGAATAGTTTACTATCGCTATGCGAAAATGACTATCGCAACGAGAGAATCGCAAGGTGAAAATGACTATCGCAATGCGAATTTGACTATCGCAACGAAAGAATCGCCATGCGAAATGAAAATCGCATTGCGATTCTCTCGTTGCGATAGTCAAATTCGCATTGCGATAATCATTTTCGCATTGCGATAGTCATTTTCGCATTGCGATAGTCATTTTCGCGTTGCGATTTTGTTGTTGCGATTTTCATTTCGCATTGCGATTCTCTCGTTGTGATAGTCATTTTTGCGTTGCGATAGTCATTTTCGCGTTGCGATTTTAAGTTTCAGATTCTATTCTTCTTTTGCAAATTGAAACTTGAATGAATTGCATTACTTCAACCAAAAGACAAATACTAACTTCACAGTGTTGAAAATTTAAGTTTCAAGAATAAACTACTACTCTTTATGTTGTCATTGAACCTACACTAAACCTATATGTTGTCCTTT